TCGTATTTTCTAAATAGCGAGGTAAATTTGAAAGCATTAAGGTATTTCCTTGTTAACAAATGCTACGACAGTCACTCACAAACCCACGTTCGACCGTAATAAGAAAGCTTTTGTTTAAAAGTTCAGTCCTTTGTGGTTCCCATTAATTTCGCCAAAGGATGGCACCAAACTATCGAACCACACATTTTAAGCACTCCCTTGCACTGTCTTAAAATAGCCAAAAGGACACTTCGTGGTGGCATTTATGACTTGGAAATATAAAAATGGAGTCCCACATGACGTCTCAGGTATATTCGGGCCTTAATAAGGAGGTGAACTTCTGCAGTTTTGCTTTTTTTTCTTTGATTCCTGTTGAGGGATTTATGTAGGGAAAGCGATGTAATCACCGAACTGCATGGCTAAGAGACGTGAGTTGCTTCGCTAACTGAAAAAATCCAATCACAGCTCACTGAACCGGAACTCAAACAAGTGGCTGGCCGAAAATGGGTCTGCAGTGTGACAGGTAAAATTGCAATGCCTGCTACAATCATAAAATGCACATTAAAATCAGTGGTAAAAACGACTGTGGGGGTACCGGGTTTCGTAGTTTATCTCGTGGAATATTTGAAAAGTCAATAAAACTAGAGATTACTAAAGGTTAAATAATTGTCATTGAAACGGTTGGAGGCGGCTTGAGCATCAGGTACTCAAACTAACAGTCAAATCATTTGTGGTATCGTGACACACACTGGGGCAAGGTGTTTGAGCGCGTCGATAGCGTGGTGAAGCGTCGTTGCTATGGCAACTCATGACATGGCTCTCTGAAAGAGCATCGCGAAGTCTAGCTAGCTCACACACTTGTCCTAATCCCAAAGCGTGTACACGACAGAATTTGCTAGATTTCTTGGTGAAGTCACTAAACATAGCAAGATTGCGAAGTCGGAAAATAGCTACAACAACTTTCCTCGGGTTTTAAAATACAGGTCTGTTTTAAATAATACCGAATTTCGGCACAAAACTACTTCGTTTAAGTATAAAACAAAAAGAAGCTGGTAGTACTTGCTGCAGATTTTGATCTTTAAAGTGTTTCGTGATGTCGTGTTTCCTTGGTGGCGGGATAATTAAATTGCCCATTCTCAAGGATCCAGAAGTGGGTTTAGGAGGTCTTCATTGGCTAAAATGTGCTGCAACTTCCCACTTGATTCAGAGAGGAAAGAGTTCTCCCAGCGCAAGCATCTGATTCACCTCCAGTGGAAGCCTTTAGCACGACTGCATTACACGAGCGTGTGTCAACAATCACGGAACAGTGCTGTTTTTTTTCTTAAAACAGTCAAAGCTTGCAAACGTAATAAAATAAGCGACAAAAATGCAAGCAAAATTAGCAAACTTGGGAAAAAGGGAATTATCGTACTTGCTATTTTTACCTGACCACGATCTCCAGTCGAAATTAACGCCTAAGAATCCCAGGTTTTGACCCTCATGGTTGTGGCAAACGCCCTTGTCACACGGTCGAATCCTTTTTGTCGAGGGAAGCCGATGGCCGAAATTTCAAACCTGTTTGAAACGCTTTTCATAACGAATTCCTAACTGCAGCGACCGTGGTGGTTAGAGACAATGCCTTTCGGTGACCATCCTCTACACCTCAGCGTTCACAAATAGCCCTGTAATGCTGACCACGCACACTCCACAATAATACGCCACGAAATTGCGATCGTGTCCGCGTTGTTTTGTTTTCTGTAACCAATGTTGGGAATTTTATTGGTCGCTTTCAGAGCACAACAGATCCTATCTAGGCACGCCGAAGATACGAGTTAGTGTTTTCCATGACGGTGGCATGCAACGCTTTTCCCAACATGTTGATGCAAATTACTGAGCATTCTATAGGCTGAACAAATCGATTATAGGATGGGCAAAAACGGAGCGTCAATTCTTCGGTTGATGAGTTAAATCAATAACACGGATCGATGAGTTATTGTAGCAAACAAACGGTCAAAGTGACAGGAGAGTTGTAATCAACTGAACAGAGCTCGAGTGATCAGACGTCACAACTCTCAATGTTAATTTAGTTGTATTGGGAAATGTTGACATCCTCAGCAATAACTACGCCTTTACTCATTATCAGCGGTCCACTGAGAATCTGTTACACTTAGCATGACTTGACGATACCGGTATTTATTTTAACTGACATCAACTTTTAGAGCCTCCCGGGGAAGTCACGTATGATTGCGAAAATTCCACCACTTTTCTGAGCATAAACAGGCAAGAATGCCATTTAAAGCGTTAAATAGACGCTGAACAAAAAAAAAAGACTGATAAACACCCAAATTTATGGTCTAGGTGGGGAGTAGGTGGGTTAAGGAATTGGGAGAGATGAGAAGTAGGATGGCGGGGGTGTTAGGAGCAAGTACGTCTGCGTACTTTACCAAAGTAAATTACGGACTTTGTACACTCTGGAGTCGTCTATTGAATGTTGCCTGTGTGAGGAGCATCATTGCGAAATTGTTGAGCCAAATTTAGCTTAGCATCCACTTTGTAAAATTAAACTTACCGCAACTACCATTGCTGTTTCTTGATTTTGAAATCCACCCAAGTTAGCAGAGTCATGAAATAGTCATAACTCGGTTTCTTAAAATAGGCCGAAGCCCCACTGCATCAGCGCGTTCTCGAATGTAAATCTGAATTTTCATTGGTCCGGGTCGAAGACGCAGCGCGAAAAAATCAATTGACATTGGTTGCTCGACCAATAAGTTCTGAGAGTTGCTCACTTAGAAAGCCTTAATGGCCTAAAGCTAGTTTTTATTCAAGTACGAACCACGTTAGCATTTATCTACATCATCTGCATTTTTTTATAGATAAATTGCCTAACTGCACACAATATCTGGCCCTCTTATATGATTCGGTCGAACGCTTAACAGAGGTGACAAATCGTGGTCAAAATTCCACCACACAACGGCTGATCCGTAAACACCTACAGAACTTGCAAGCAGGCACGTTTTAGGGAGAGGGGTTCAATTTATTACCTGGAAGTTAAAACCAGTGAACAGTTGTTTTTAAGTGTAAAATGACAGCGTAAACATCACGTCCACTACTCACAAATGGGAAGATTCTTAGGGTGAATGAAAGATCACGATTAATAAGTCGCGTAACTACTGGTATTGGAACCAAGTTAAATGTACGGTCATACGGTTAAATTTTAATTCAGCTACCACGTGAAAAGCTGGGCATTCGTGAGTTTTAAACAATGCAAAATAGTTGTTGCATATTATGGATTTACTCGTTTTGGCGTTGTTAACACCAAGTGCATTCGATAATCACAGTTTTCAAGTGAATCGGAATTGTGAAATGTGATTTCCTGAAATTTGTACTGATCCGGGAAAAAATAGTTTGATTTTCTGAAACGGTTTTGCTTCCTTTTAATGATGGAAAATAAACAAATCTATACACTCCATTGTTTATTTAATAATTACAAACTGTTTTGGGGCAATTTACTTGTTTAAAAAACAACACGCAAGTACGCCCTTAACTACTTAACTGCTTAAACAAGGCAAAATATATGCTTCTTTTGCTAACATCAAGTGATTGGTGGTAGACGAGTTGCAAACGAATGAAATTTTAAATGCAAATTCTTGTATAGCTGATAACCTGATTCACATTCGTTGGGGTCACTGATACCAGAAGCACGCTTAGTTACTCTAAACAGGCGGATTAGATAATAATGAAATTGGTCGAGTTTTATAAACCGTGGCCTGGTCGGTGGGGGTTTAAGTGAAATTTTGACAATTTTGTTCGTTGAGAAACAATGCCTACAGCATTAGTCAGATGACTGGCAAAAAGTTTTGCCTAACCCTAGAAACCCAAACCCTTGTTACAATAAGAAACCACTAAAAAACAATGCTGGGCAAGAAATTGAGACGTGTTTAATTACAAGGTTATAAAAGTAGGCAGTAATGGGGCTTTTAGTGGACCAACTTTTGCCCTGCAAGACCCCTGTTTCCCTTGGTTTTTGCCATGTAATTTTAAGTAAACACAACCCCTCTACAGTCAGACGAATCTGCATTTCTGTCTGTCCCTTGACGTAGACTTAGTTAAATGGCATTGCAAAAGACTATAAATTATTTCCAGAAACGATTGTCAAAAATTCTGGAAACAGATTGATTAAATTTAAATCAGTGATAATTGCAAGATTTATTGGTTTATATAAAATCATTTTCGGTTCATACTGTGAATGTCCACGACCTTCACTTGTTGTTTATTTAAACAAAAATGTTATTGATTTTTTAAAATCGTGATTTATCGGAATATCGATGAACAGCGCGAAAGGCAACCTTAAGCGTAGCGTGAGTGTTGCTGATGCCTGATAGGAGAATTTCTGCTTGAGGTCATGATCTAGATCTGTCACTTTCTTGTCCCACTCTGATTTTGCCAAAAATATTTTGTTGCGCAGATATTCCGTTGTCAGTGATCTTCGCCCTTTGTATTAATTAAATCCGAGGTTAATTCTCACAGAGGAAGCTGCGCAGTTACGTGTTTATCTAGATACAAAATGGACAAAACACAAAGCAAGAATTATGCGATTATTCTCACAGGGTTAACTGGCAGTTCCACTGCAGCCTAATCGCTTACTTTTTACTACAGTCGAATGTTAACCAGGAAAGTTTGCGAGTAAATTGGTTGCAGAAAAAAAAACCACATTTTCTAATCGAACTAAACTTGAAAAGAAGGCCAGTGCTTAGACGTGAAATGTGGTGATTTGACATCACAGCCACAAAGAATGTTTCCCTCAATAAGTCGAATTTGGTGTACTTCCTCAAACCACCACTAGTAGACGCATCACACACACGACTGCAATTAGCATAACTCTTAAGCCAGCTTTGCTTCAGGCATTTACCGAGACGGTACACCAGGCACGCAGTTAAGGTGGCATTAAACCCGTGACAGCGGGACAGTCCACAAAGGTGCCATTAAATCGCGGCCGGAGAAACAGCCTGGACATCCAGCCTCATCAACGCACGCCATTCGCGATGAGCAGACCAGCCAATCGCGACGCGGCCGACGCGCTAGCCAGAGAGGCGAGGGCGATTCGCTCCGCGCGTGGCCATAAGACACCGACGCCGCGCACACGTGGCCACTGTTCGTTGACCTTTGGTGTCGGAGGCATGTTCATTGCACCGGACGGCGTGAGATCCCTGGATTTGACATTGGGCAGCCTCTTTGGCTGTGGCGCTCAGCCTGGCTGTTCCGAAAACGTCTTCTTAAACAGGCTACTTTATTTAGCTGCCACTGGCTACGGATTACGAGTAAGTATTACGGTGCATGCCTATCTGCCTGTCCGTAGTTCTTAGTTTTATTTAAAAAAATAATGCACACTTTTTGTGGTATTTAACTAAACCAGACAAAAGCTTTTTCGTAACTCTATTCATTGTTTTTTTTTAATTGATTATAGAAAAGGGGCCACGATTTGAGTTCCGAAAACAGCAGCGCTGTCGTTAGGTTATCCGCCAAACGAGTAAGTTGTCCTTCACACTCATTTTATTGATTTAAACAAAAATTTTGCACATTTATTGAATTAAGGCTATTAACTCTACCACAAGACTTCTCTGAGTGTAATTTTTTGAAGATGCGTTAAGGCCTGATAATCACACTTTCAAATACACCAATGTCGGCAAGCATAGATAGTAGGAACAGCTGGATAAAATATTGGTAATGGCGCCTTACCATCAGTCTGCCATATGCCCCCTCTCTATCCTGTGACGAGGCCTTTTCCACATGTTGTAATAATTTGTTTCAGCCCAGAGTGGAAGGTGGTTCTGTCGGGCCTTCTGCACCCCCATCTCGAGTCCTGCATGTTCGCGGACTGCCTGCAGAGACAGCCGAAACCGACATAGTGAAACTGGCAATGCCATTCGGACCAATCGCTAATCTTGTTCTCACCAAGAAGACTGGACAGGTGAGGACCAGTGTGGGGCCAACACGGACACAAGGATAATAAATATTTTAGCAAGTTAATTTGGTTTAAAAGAAGTTTTATGGGTTTTAGACGTGTAAAAAACAGACTGAGACATGGTCGCTAACGCCGTGGGCGGGAGCAGGCGGTTTTCGTGTTTACCACGAAACCAAAATATCGCCGAAGTACACGTATCCCGCCTCTTGCGACTTGACCACAATTATCTGACATAGTCGTTGTTTGCTCAAGATCACAAACATGTATTTCGACGTGTTCAAAATGCGCAGGGGTGATGCTAAGTCCAATTTTTGACTCTAATAGCTAACTCGCCCACTCGGCTTCATTAAAACAGGTAAATTTTAGCGTCTACTTACACAATAGGCCCTCTTTTATGCTTTGCCGTCTATGTAGAAGCAAGTGTTCTGAAAATCTGGAGTTATTCATAGGGCCAGCTTCCAACTACTTGTCCCATCGCGTGTTGATGCAGCCCTCTTCGTCTCCTCCAATGAAACGCAGTGACGTTTTTAACGTTGCACGACCACTGCAGAAAACCCATTTTAGTAGTTAAAATGTTTTGTGGGCAATTTTAGTGTTTTGCCTTGGGACGGCACTTGGTGGAGGAAGATGCAAAAAGCAAAACTTTTAGCTGCGACTTGTGTCTTTTTTTTTTTAAAAAAAATGTGGATATATTGAAGTTTTAATTCCCCCTACAGACTATGATCAACCTAAAAATGGTAGACATAGAAGTCAGTGAGAGACCTTACTTCTTTGGGTATTGATTGCTGTTGACCAGAGTTAAAGTTGACTTCCCTTCTGATGAAAGCCTGATCTTAGAAAATAGCCGATTTTGAAGGATTGCAAATTGCCAGAAAATCGAATGACATTGATGAATGAATGCAATTTTTCAAATTGTGCCGTGAATCTTGCTTGAACTGGTACAACTGCGAATCTGCCTTAAAAACAATAAATTCATAAATGGTATGTATTACGATTCAAGCAGTCAGATCGTAACTTCAACGCCTTCGATCGAATTCCATCCAGCGCTGTGGCGATCGATAAAATTTATGTCATGCGGGAGAAGTGACTGCTTGATTCAAACAGTCGGATTGCAATTACAAGTTCTTCGATTGAATTTCCTTCAGTGTTGTGGCGATCGATAAAGTTTATGTACATGCGAGGAAATTGCCTGAGCAGCTGATAAGGTCAGTGACCTTATGAGCCTACATGGTTTTTTCACCATAAATGCGTATAAATTGCCGTTGGCAAGTACTTGCCTCGGTATTATCCAGTGTTTCTAAAATTGCACACATGACATGTCCCGGACACAACATCAAACACATTACTCCTTCCAGTCTTAATGGCTTGCACCTTCAATTGTTCAAGGCCCTCATTGAGATGGCAAATCAGGAAATTGCCACACAGATGCTCGAATACTACCAATTCTACCCGCCTCTCTTCAACGGAGGCAGCGAGTCAGCGATACTGCAGTACTCGAAGTATCAGACACTGGAGATAAGCGGGATAAGTCGGCCTGTCTCCGACGCAATCGCCATGGCGAACGACCACTTCCTCCGATTTGTCGTCGAGACCCCGACGCGACCAAGAGTTCTCCGTGTTTTTCTCGAGCCTGCGCCGACCAATCAGCTTAATTACATGGATTACTTCAAAGTAAGTCATTTGAATGCTTCTGGGTTCATATTAACTGCGCTGCATAATGTCCATAACTTCTGCAATTTACTGCCTTGTGAGATTTTTAGTTCGTCGGTGTGGCATTTAGGGTGTGAGTGGGCCAGTGCTGGTAATTACCTTAGAACAGGGCAGTAATGTGTAGATCTGGTGATGTTTATTTGAAGCCAGTGCAGGGTAGTACATGGGATGGCAAGGCAAACAGGTCCTGCGTGTTTCACTAAACAACTCACGGATTTATTCGAAATTTGCAGAACGTGAAGTACTTCAACCATACCGATTTATGACCTCTGTATTTCGCAAAACAACTTCTGCAGGCCTTCACAAGGAAAATTTCTTGGAATCCTGTCCGTTTCACGTCTTCATATCCCGCTCTTTGACGCTTCTAAAGAGCATCTTAGGTGGAAATTAAGTGTCACACACTTGGAATGGGAGGTTCTCCCACACTTGGCATGTTCACCCGACTTAGCCCCTGTTCCGACTACCATTCGTACCGCGTTAGGGGACATGAAGGGCTGGTCATCAGACGGTGACAACGGAAGGGCATAGGCGTCAATTAAACGCATTTAGGAAAGTGATCGGAAAAGGCCATTTACTGGGCAAGGAAGCAGGCAAGTCGCACTACTGCTATTGCCTGACAATGCTTGACTACGTCACGTTGATCTCACTACTCTGAAGACCCTCTTGAACGTGGAATAGCAAGTTCTCCCACACGCTGCATATTCACCAGCGTAAATAAATCTGCATTCTCACAAAACACTGCTCCTAAACACCTAAATCGTCGTACGGTGTTTTTTTGAAAAAGAAAACTACTATGTTGTATGAGTCCACAATCTCCTTCCGGCATTTTGTTTGTAATTTTAACAATCTTAAAAAAGCACACCAGTATCTCATTTGACCTGTGGCATTCAGACAAAATGAACATTTGTGGAAGACTCTCCGGATCTGATCTTCTTCAGTGAAACCAGGGAATATTAAATTGTGCGCTTATTCGCCTTGATTGGGTAGCTCATTTCTCAACTCAAGGCAGCCTGTTGGGAATTCACCTTGACCTTGAGTTGGTCCCCGGGGGCGCAGTCTGCTTCCCCCTAAGGAAGGTGGTCCTCAGATCTGAAATGAGATTCTTACATCATCGTCATCATAATCATTTCCCAAATAAAGATGGCGACTTCTAGTGGAGTCACTGATTCATTTGTGCACAAGGAGACAATGCGACTTAGTTAAAAAATTCCTTCTCTGATCTGATACCTTCTATTAGGCGTTTAAGTTAATTTGTACAGATTAGCTCTTGGAGCTTAAAATCATGATATTTTCGTAGTCTTTCTTGATTTTGAAAGGATCTGATGTGAGGTTTCACAAAACCGAATGACACAAAATAGCGGAGTTAGTGACAATGGCAGCTGATAAGCATCACATTCGATGGCACTGCGTTCTGTACGGATTCCGTTAAGGCAAAATTTCTGCTTCTAAAGCACGGGAGAATCAATTCGCAGTGTTCTTGGTGCTGCCGATGTTGTGTCTTATGAAACGTGTTAGAAGTGGCGCTTTCAATCTTAGTGACCAGCTGTGCCTCGAACAGCAGCCTAGAAAGTTTGAAGATGCGGAATCGCAAGCTCTACTGCATGAAGACTCAACGCAAACGTAGCAAGAGCTTGCGGCATCTCAGTCAGGAGTCACCCAAACCCCCTATGCCCAAGTGTTCCTATCAAATGGCAAAAATTCGAAATTTGGAAGTTGGATTCACCCACATATGTTGACCGAACACAACCTAGGTCAAGGAACGAACACATGCCTTCCACTGCCTGGCCGCTAGCCACAACAAAAGAACTCCTTGTGGAAAATTGTGACGGGTGATGAAAAGTATATTATTCACTTAACCATAAACGTAAAGGTAGTGGGTAAGACATCCAGCAATCCAGTTCATCAACGACGATATAGAACATCCACTGAAAGATGAAGATTATCCTGTGAATCTGGTAGGAAATGCTGGGTGCAATTTATTGCAAACTCCTGCAAACCGGTCGTCAGATTGCGACTGCGGAACGCTTCAGCCGACAACTGAACAAACTGAACAAAGAACGTGATCAGAAAAGCCCGCTTACTGGGCAAGGAAGCAGGCAAGTCGCACCACTGCTGCTGAATGACAATGCTTGACCACAAGAGGTTGCTCGCGCGACTCAGAAGACTCCCTTGAACTTGGGATGGGAAGTTCTCCAATACGCGCGGCATATATACCAGGCTTGGCCCCCATCCGATTACCATTTGTTCCGTTTAAAACGACAGCACCACGCCTCTGTGAGCGAACAGTTCAAAACGCTGGACGATGCGCGTAAATTCGTCGATGATGACTTGATCGGCTCGAAGCCTGCAAATGTCTTTCCCGATGGCCTTCGTACGTTAACTGAGAGGTGGCGCAAGTTCATAGAAAACGATAGGCAATATTTACAAGACTAAGTGCGTTGTTCTCTATTCAGTAACATTAAATAAATTTACAGAACGAAAGAACAGGTACACTTAGTCAGAGTTGGGTACTTTTTCGCTGGTAATCGAGTTAGCTCGGAGAAAACACCGACCTGGAAAAGGGGAGTTGATAAATACGGGATCACCTGAATTGCACTTGCATCATCGGTGTCACGTGAGATGAAGCGTCTTTGGGAAAGGATCTACTGCTCCGACACAAACATCCCAGCCCAGCGTTTGGCGAATTGGCAGCTGTTCATCATGTGTGACCGCTAAACGGTCACGTCAGTATCGTCAAACTGTGGCTGCGATGTTTCAACGGTAGCAATAATCGTGGGCCAGTGACAAGGTCATCCTGAGACTTGAGGTCAGTGAAGACGTGGGACTGGAAGTTCCGTGCAGGCATACGTGAATGTGACCCTTTACCGGCGGAAACGTTTAGCAGCAGTGTCTAATAGCCGGAAGTAGATGGGACAAAATTACTGACCCCCTTTGCGAAAATGAGTGCCGATGCCAACTATTGAAATCCACAACTAACTTTGGCTTCATGAATCACGTACTCAGCCGGCACTGAGGGGTGGGGTGTCAGCCTCGTCACTACTGAAACTATAAAAACGACTTGTGCTTACGGGCTTCAGTCACGCAACAGTTCAGCTTGGTACGAAGGGCTAAGCACACGCGCCTCCAACTCACTCGTTTCCACGCACTGGCGACCACAAATTTTGCTCCCCTTTGATGTAAAATTCTACTGGCTTAACGCCTAGAGCAGGTACATCTGTAGCGATAACAACAGTTATCGTTTTCCCCCTACGACAATGTCCTAGTATAATTTAGGGCGGGTCTGCGTGAAATGGAATCGCATTAATTATAAACTATGACAAGGTGAAGCATTTGGAGGATGTCATTCAACTTGTATTGGAAAAGGCAGGCACAAAACATCTGCAATTGCCGTAACGCACACAGTCAACACGAGAGTTTACGAAACTCGGGTTATTATTTTACAAAAAAGGCCGTCGTTAATGGTGTGTTTTGGGGTGCAAAAGCATGCACCGCACACAGGCCGGCCACCAGTGTCCACGGCCTTTGCGCTCGTGACCTGACAAATTGCCGCAACTGTTTAACTTGCCAAAATCACGGCAACACATACCGCTAAGTCAAGACCAGTCACGAAAATTACGTATATACAGCCTGCGGCTCTAATGAGTAGAACCTTTAGCGTGTTGAAAAGGCTTTTATTTCAAATACTTTTCCATGTTGTTGTGCTCTGATCTACACGAAGCATTCAGGGGCGAGATACAAGACCCAAGGCACAATGCTGTTCGGTGTGAAAGCCTAAAAGCGGCGCATGTGCGTGTGTGAAACCACGAGTCATTTGATACTCAATGTGGGTGTGATCCAGCGGCCACATTAACAGCTGATTAGACCAGATAGTACTGGATGAGCAAGTTGTGAATGGACATCAATAAAATGTTCCTCTGTACTTCAAGAAGCAGTTAGTGATCTACCTTATCCCCCTGAGACTGAACTACCGACCATTCATGAATTAGTCAAAGTCATGATCAGGATAACTTCTTGCCCAGTTTTCTGTAAGTAAACCTCCTTTATAGGGACAGAGGAACAAATAAGACCAGAAAATCTTGTGGTGTGTCTGAGGAACAGACAATTGCCAATGAAATATCTTTCGCAACGTCAACAACTGCCTGCTTTCCCACGGCTCTGGTCTGAGTTTTTGGAAGACAGTTTCTGTCGCCTCGATGCTATCGGCAGACTGCTGCTAACTCATGCGGGGGTTGAGATAGCGTGCTTGGGGTTGGGGGAAGCAGATGTGCTTAATCTAGAATTTTCTAGCTAAAAATAAAGTTCCAAATTTGTCACAATGAGCTAGCTGTACCAGCGGTACGACCGTATGTCTATTCCCTTTGAAGCTCATTTGATTACCGCCTAGCGTACACCGGCAGCCAATCACAAATGCAGGATCATAGGAACTCGAAATTCAAGCAGAGAAAGGCGAAAATTCTCACACAAATCTGCTGTCTTTCTTCCTTTAGGCCAACTAATGGTAGTAGAATCTTTTGTGTTTGACTCGATGTAAATTAATCGTCACGCGAGCACAAACTTTAGCATTTTGAAGTTACCATTTGTGGAAGCAAATCTGCACACAGTCAGCAGTGCTTGAAGGCGGTGGCGTGTTTGAATGTTGCGTGTTGGTGAATGCTTCAAAGCACTTAAACCATCAATTTTTGCTGGTTTGCGTGTGATTGCCACTTGACAGAATAATTAACATGTGCGGGGTTAATTGCGTGTGTCACAAATGGCTTCCTGTCTGGCTTTTAATTGCAGATATTCTACAGACACGGCGCAATACTGCGGATAATCGTCTTCAAAATGTCCGGCCGGAGTCAGGCCTTTGTTGAGTTCAATTCTCCCGTTTCTGCGCACGCTGCACTGCTGGTGAGTTTCCGGATCTTTACGAGTTCAAACGAAGGTATTTACCTAAACACCGCCAATGTGGTCGTTAACTTGGTCCGATAGAAGCTCTTCTAACTGATTTAAACAAGCTACAAACCACTCAATCTGATTATGGAAAACATTCAACTCTAAGTAATTTAGTAAGTGTCAAAAATCTGGTTAAATTGTAGTCATTTATTTCGAAAATGCTGCCGACAGGAGACCGCCGTAGTCCCCTACAGATCAGTGGCAGTTTAGGCAAAATTCTTCACACATCCCTGGTGACTCAGCCGGGGAACAAAATATTTTGAGTTGCGGGTTCGGCAAAAACGACATTAGTTGGAATGACGAGAAGCGAGTTAGAAAAGCCACCAAACATGATTTTTCTGAACTAGAAACTCAACGCAACCCGCCTTCAAATTGGTCTGTGGTTGAACCCTCAGATTTGATCTATAAAAAAACGAGGTTTTTTCGCAAAACGCCTGCAATCACACAGCATGCCACTTAAATACTATTCATCTGTACTTTTCTAAGGGTTAATATTCATTGGTTAGTTTTAAATCGCAATTTCTTTGCAAAACAGAGCGCTGTTTTAACTGTGGGGACTGGTACCCAGAAAAAAACACACGCCATCGAGGCTATACAATGTGGTTTGCGGGAACAGCGGTATAGAGAATGTCATTGCACGCCACCTTCATGGGACGAAAAATGAACAATTTCGAGAAACAATTCTCTCAAATCCTGTAAATGGTGTTCTTACCTTAAAGTCAGTGCTAATTGGGTGAATTTGAATGAACTTGTCTCCAGATGTCCGCGCGAAGTAATTCACAAATTACAAGCAGTGATTTATGAACGGGAAAATTAACGAGAAGTTAAACTACTCCCCTTTTTGCAAACTGAATTTTCGAATGTCTAGGAGACGTCGGTAGACACGTCTACTGCCCACTTAACCGTCGTGGGTCGCTCTTTCAGGGAAAATCAATAAAGGGGACAAATGTAGTCCCTAATTATGTACTTGAATAATTGCAGCGATAAGATGAGGGTGATTATGAACACTAACCCTAGCACTTGTTTTGATGTGCCGCCTACTAATTAACTCACTGTGACAGTTACTTACAAACTATTCAGCATAACTCTCCTAAAACTATTTAATCATCAACAAATTAATACTATTCGTTTGTTATTCCTGGGAACTTTGCTAAAAATCGATAACTGAGAACGTTATAAATCGATAACGTTTGGTTGTTTAATTTGGACCGTTAGATAGCGCGAGGTGATTGGCTCCCAGACCACAGGTGTCGTCAATCAATGGCGGCGTCACTATCAAGTGATGCCAAGTCAGAGAATTTTCAGAATGGCGAATTGGTTAAACCTCTTCTGGACTAACCACAGCATTCAGAGGTTTAGACAGATAACCTTGGGGGTTTGACTGACTCCGCACTGTAATTATCAGTGGACTCAAATACGCAGGAAGGAAAAAGGGACGTGAAAATCCACCAAAATGAGGACGATGGAATAACCGGGGGACTACAATGCAGATCACGAGGTTCTGGGTCTTCTATTGCAGAAAGGAACAATGGATTGTTTGACTAGGTTCAATTTTCGAAGGCGCCTTGCCTATTCTGACGCAAAGTGAATAGTTTAAAGTGGTTACGTTGAAAGATAGGTGTTTCGAACAAAGCGAAGCATGTTTGTATCAAGAAACCCCTAACTGTGCTAAATGTCTGCCAATTTTTTTCAAATTAGCAGTGCTGCAACTCATGTCTCTACTGTAAAATGCGGGGTTTTTTTTTTAAATTAGTATTTACGCATTTCTCACCTTAGAGTAATAAAATTACCTTTAAATACATTAGCACTTAGCAGATCAGGTTTAAATATCTAAGGTAATAAAAACGGTTGGAATTTGGCGCGGTTAAGAGATGTGAAGCGAGATTACTGAGGACAATGGTTACTACAGAGATTACTTGAATTTTCGGAGGAAGTAGGTTAAAACCTAGCGTGTGTGATAAAATCATTTGGTTTTTTTTTTGAAATATATACATGGTAAACCCAATTGCCTGACAAGGCTCTTTAACTTAAAAGAATCCAACCATACGGATTTATAAGTACAACAAATGTCATAATTTTTTTTCGGTTCAAAACCGCTGTTTAATCAACCAAACTTTTGTTAAGACTTCAGTGGGCTAGTTAATCAATTATCAACTAATCGGTTATCACCAGTTGTAATGGCTATAGCCATCAGAAGATCATTAAACCGCCTTTGGTGGAATCGTGATTACTTATGTCTCAACCGTTGACAATTTGTATTTTCTAAGAAATTAATTAATCCATCTTTGTCTTTGTGTAGAATTACCTCCTTTTGTTGAGCATTTAACGTCTCTGTAAGCTGTTTTCTTTATAACTGTGGACAATCTCTGCTTTTCAAAGAGTCAGCAGGAAAACGAGCATTGACATTATTCCGCTTATTGATTCAAATGAGTTTAATTACAAAAACAATCGTTATCAGTGGGACTAAACAGCGCGTTTCATGTGACAATGATTTCCTTAGCATCCCAATAACGAGATATTTAGCCAAGGTGAAGTTGCACAGGTTGCAGAGATTAAAATGACTTATATTGGTTCTGAGACAAACGTTTCATCACCAACGACGACACCGTAACGAAAACTTCTTCGTATCGAAATCATCCAAATCATCATATATATATTGACCAATAGCTTTTTATCGGATTAACATATCTGGCAGGTTCGAAGTAGTAGAGAAAATTGAGTTTGCGTGTTTTCGAAAACAGCTATTTAAGTGGCAGCTTTTGCGGTGGGTTTTGTGTGCTTTCGTAAAGTTCTCGAGTCAGTTTTGTGAATCAAGTTAGGTCACTTGACTGTAAGTCATAGCTAGCGTAGTGCCTCAGCCAAACATAGCTCATGTCAATTTTTAAAATAACGGCCAGTTGATCAACGGTAAAAGACGTAACCGCGATTTCTGAGTTGTGCCAAAATCGTCACCATCACCACCACCACCACCGCCACCATCATCATCGCCATTCACGTATCGGGGTTTTTAAAAGACTTGCAACTCATCTGAGTTCCGAGTTCAGGATTCCACTAACTGTTGAAAGAGCGAAAGTGCATCATTTACGAGGCATTTCGTGTAATGCTTAATTTAGTTGTTCAGTCTTTGGGCGAAAGGTCAATTGGCCTTGCATTCATTCGATTTTCGCTTGTTCTCGCAAAACCACACTGCAGCTTATAGAACCGGTCTGTTTTGCTTAATGAATTCCACGTATGTCGCTTATGTCGGCCCGCAGCTCGGTGTTCTCATTAATAACGCAAAGGCAAGTCGCTTGCAAGCCTCGCTCTCCCTCGTGCATCGCATATTTAGCAAACAATCGAGTTCTTTTATTAATCCACCAACACATTCGATTATCGGTGCAAATAACACGTCTTTGCGGCAGCCTCCACCTGACAATTAGTGACTTAAGGAAATGTGCACAAATACGGGAGACGGGTTTGTGCTTTCGTCAGTATTTCCTGCACCAAGAATACAAATTTGAAAATGGTTGGAAAATGGTCAACGTTCATCCTGCGTAGTTAACCTTAACTACGGTAACCTGTCTCCTAATGACGTTGGTTAAAAGCGTGTTAACAAAACCGTTCACATCCAGCAAGGTTGCACGTTTGCGCATCTACCGAAAGATTTTGGCACTTTGCGGCAGCTAGCTTTAGCGAGCTTACCGTAGCTACTCAAAAACTGGAGATAAGGCTAAAAGCCAATACGATTGCGTGAGTACATTGTTTTTTGTCCGCATCACTTGCGAAAATCTGTCGAAAATTCGGCAGCGAATTCGGTTTTCCCTCCCTCAAAGCGGCGTTTCATTTCCCTCTCACACTTGAAATGTTTGAGCAGCAGCTCAACCAATCACACCACCGGTTACTGGTTCCTGCCTGAAACTGTCCACGATTTTCAGAAAATTTGTCATTAGTGGTACGGGCCACTAAGATTTCAATGAATGTAAGCTCTCATTTGCACTTAAAAATATTTTGCAATTTCTGATCAAAATAGGCTAATTTTAAATGTTTTTGCGCATTCTTCTGGCCACGAACAGCGCAATATAATCAACACGTGAACGGCAAAAAGGAAATTAGTTTTTTTGTAGAAAATTAAAATACTTATTAATAAGCATGACTCCTTCGTTGAACTGACAATAACTAATCATCTTAGTCCATTAATGTCTTGCCAATGACTCATCAGCCTTGGTGTTTAAAAAGGTGCCTAATTTTGGCGGAATAGGCGGCTGTTTTGATAAAAGAAAATTGTATAGTGGAGGTGAGTGTGCAATTTTTGCAAAAGAATCCATATGTAACGCAGGCTGATGCACTATTGCCCGTTGACGGTGTGCAAATCCAGTCACGGCCAGCTAAAACGGCGGATTCTTACAGTTGAACAATCAATAAGATATCAGCCTACCACTTCAGCACTTGTCCAGACTACCATCGGATGGAAATGGAATAGAACCTGAATCGCATTACCAACTGCGCAGATTAGTGTTTGTTACTCCGATCGTCGATGATGTTCACAGAAATGATTGTAATAAGCACATGATATGTGTGCAAAGTGCGAAAAAGTACATACGAATAGTCGTAAGGTTTGGACGCGTGCACATCTGCGTAAGGCTTGTCCAGCCCACGTCACTCTTTTATTCACCCAGATGTTTGCAGATAGCCTACTGCCTACAAATTCGAAATTCCGTGAATTTGGTGCTTGGAAGCCAAAGCAGAATAACCATCTGAGAAAATAATGGTGTCTTATTACACGATGTTTGCAGAACTGGCCACTAGTTAAACTAACCATCTACAGCCTAGTGTTGAGATGGCTTTATCTACAGCATTTTCCTGGAACACCCACGACGCATAGAACGAAACGAACGAGGCTCGCTCGCTGTAGGCATCAAATCAGTGCCAACTCGATTGCATGTCTGTGAAATCTACACAAGTTCATTACAGTCCACAGCGCACTAGCCTATCCAATTAACTCTTGAAAATCGATATTGGTCAAGGACACTATCCGCCTGAGCTGCTATATGCATGACGGTTTGTCTCCATTTGTGTGGTCTCTTTCGAGTTCAGTTGTTTAAATCGACACCCAGAATTCCTTAAAAATCATCTGGCCAATGTTAAAATTGACCTTTACGTCAGTTGTACTGGTTATTTTTTTTTAAATTAAAAAAAGGGATTTAACGAAAAATAACGCCTTGTATATGAACATCACGACAGTAAGGGTGACTGGCTGTCTGAGTGCGTTATCATGACTTAACTGATTTAAAATGACAGCAAAACACGTCAGACACTTGTGTGAAGTGGATGTTTTCAAATACGGGAAAAGAAAAGCCGCCCACGAACCATCGATATTTCTGAAGAAAAATTTAAATATCTGTGTTTCCTGGCAACATTTAAATTGAGACCCTGATCATATCTAGTTCTATATTCATTCCTAGTTTTAATATTTGTCATGGTTATTTCCTTTAAACTCCTTGTTTTGCTACACGGGTGTTGTTGAAACACTATTCAAAGTCGCAACTAGTGGTAAGTCACTGTATTTATCATCTATTGTCTAGGATACCCACAATAACAATTTAACGCACAGAACTACTTTACTCTACGCGCGTATTTCCGCTTGTATTTAAGGTTGCATTATTAACACTTTTCTTACAAAACCTAGCAACTTAATAGATTTCAGGGTAGCTGAGTGGCAGTGACTTGAAAAAACTGATTTGGCGCATAATTTGTGTCACTGGTGTTGTCCGATGGGGTCATTGCAATCGATTTGGATATGAAAGTTTCGGAATCGAACAAATTTACTCACTGTCTCAGCCAACGGCCGAGTAAACGTTCTCGTGGTTCCACTTGTGTATAGCATATGCGGTCTTGAGTGCAACAGAAATATCGGACCAATAGGAAAAAGGCGGTGGATACGAATACGGAAGTTGGTGTGCATAAAACGCGATTGATGATAAAAAAAATAAAAGAATCGTAGAATTCTTGGCAATTATGACTTTGGGCATGCTGAATCCCCATCAACTTTTGAATCCGAAGACTTGAGGTTCACAAATTTACTCTTAATGAAGACATGACCTCATTTGGAAGTGGTTATGCCGCAGACGAAAATTTGTCAATTCTGCTAAAACGTGGACTTCCTCAATTGTTTAAAAGATTGCAAGAGAATTTTCAAATTTGTGACTGTCCAAACTACAACCTTTTCCAAGAAAGTGTGCAGAGGCCTCCTCTAATTCTAGTCCTTTTTTGAAAATGACCCGTGAAGTGAAATAAATGCTCACGTCTTTCTGGTGCATATCTAGGCGTCTTGTGGCGAATATTTTGTCGAATGTTATTTGCAGACTATTATTCATGCCTTGTTAGTCAAACCCTACAATCGGAAATTTAAATTATCGATTGAACTGCAGAAATGGAGTGTTTTTTGAGGCTGTTCCCACACCTGATGATTGTGTTTTGACCAAAAAACGATGCTTTTAACGTTTACGCGCTTTATTAAATTAAATTCGCTTGTGAAACCAAAGACGTCTGCTGCGGGGTTTTTCAAAGCAGCAGAAAATTGGCGAAAACTGTTTCCCTCATTTGAACTACCTTAAGAGGTGCTTGCTGAATGACCATTTCAAGCCAATTGGGTCAACGTACAGTAATTACATGGAATCTTCGCTCTGAATTTAACTTTCAGATTCGACAAGTGGATATGCTACGTCTGAAACCATATGGTTTGCTACTGATGAACCAGCAGTAGACAAACAGTCATTGTGGAAGTTGCCGCAAAGGATTGGTTTTAACGGGGCTGATGTGACAAAACTTTCTTAAAAATTTTGTTGAAATTATCGATTTATGTGTGCAAGTATTTGAACCGTTGGAAATTACGGAGAACAGAGAAGGGCGAGCTGAAGAGATTTAAATTATTAGAATGCAATCAAAATCCAGATCTTCCATTGACCAGAGCATAACCGTAGAAGCATTATTGCTAGGAGACGCAAGATGGTAAATTAATGGCCCTCTGGGTACAGAGGTTGTGCATAATTTATAAACATAATTATCAGACGTATAATTGCGCTGCATGCGAGTTATCAGTGGTTGTGACATCAAGAGTATTCACCACGCATATATTAATGTCAACTCACTCGTTAAATAATTGAACAGGACAAGTACGGGATTATTTTTAAATATCGTGAGAGTAAATACTTAAGATTAAACGTATTTTTGTCGGCCAGTCATTCAAAGTTAGTTACTGAATTAACAGTTCTAGAAACTGCAAAATCTAGTTTCATGCTTCAAGAGGCATTTTCTGGAAAATAATTTAAAATAAATCAATTTCGTGACAACACCGAAGCTTCACATGCGAGAAGAAATTACATATTAATTTTTATCTGGTTAAAATTTTCTATTTTTAATTTAAGAAACTCATATTTTACTCGCTTAGAAATGTAGTCACTTATACTGAATCGTTAAATATAAACCAGTCAGTAATCGGTGAAATAATGATCATCTCATGCAAAAAAAATTACGGAAATAATTATGCTTCGTTATTTAGCAACTAATTGCTTTGGTAGGGGAGCATCGCTAGTAGGCAAAACCTGTAGTAAAGTGTCAGAAAAAAGGAGACATTTTTTACATACTGAGTACTGTGAGAGATGTTTGTTTTAATCAATCGACGATGCCATTTATTTTGTGCGATAGACCCTTAATGGACAGATGCTGCCAATGTATGGCGCGAAAATGCGTATCGAATTCTCCCGGCAAACCTCCCTGGAGTTGCGCCAAGACGACAACACAAGTCGCGATTTCGTGGCACAGCCTTTGTCTGCACTAGAAGAGCAGGACCTCATTAAGTCGCTTACACCTATGTAGTTCATACCAAAGTTTTTAAAGTTGTTTAACAGTTGTAAATAAGACGTCATTGATTTGAGAAATAATGAATGGATGTTTGTCTTTTGTGGGCTCCTAAATGGTTGGGACAGATGTGCAATTAAATAAAATCACTTAATTTTTCACTGTTTCATAAATAAAGGGCACTATGGAATTTGTTTCCAAATAACCAGTTGGAAGCTTTAGGGAAAGCATAAACGGTCAATTAAAATATCCTAATGTGATCTGAATGGGGTGACATAATTTAAGTACAAACAGAAATGTACACATACAAATCCGCAATAATTTTAGAGAAGTTGTGAATACTAATGTAATGGCCTTGCAAGAAAGGGTATCATAATCTTAAACCTTTCATCGGAAGCATATTTCCGACTAAGTGACTTTGTACTCCAAAATTTAAGTTAACAATTAAAATATTGCGATAAGAAAAAACTACATGCTTGAATAATTCTTTTAAATTAAAAGCTCTGAAAATACACCAGAGTTATTTTAAATATTTACAAAAGAAATGCAGAAACTACTCTAGTATTTAAAATTTTAACTCTAATTTTCAAAACAATTTGTAATTACATTTTAGTAAATAATTAGCGAGCTTCTAAAAAAATTTTTCTTGCAAAAAATGACAAAGTTGACTATCTGAGTTTAGTTAAATGGTTGTATTATCTAAATTGTTATAAATGACTAGTTAAGGTTTTACTGTGTAGCATGGACTTATTTACTTTATCATACTACGTAAGACTGTACATAAAGTCCACCGTATGTTAGACATTGGACTGCATGAGCTTATTTTATCTTGGGGTCAAAATAATATAAGAAAAAGACTGAAAGATGCTAGGAGAACATCTTTATAAAATTTAGGATGCAACTGACAACATAGTAGAAATTATGAAATACATCGCAAGTTTTGTTGTCTGTTAAAAAATCCCGTCATTTACAATGTGCATGATAGAAATAGAAAAAGCTACCATTAGATGAGAAAACCAGTTGCATTAAAAAAAACTTTTTTGTGACAGTTAGGGAGTTTTTTAATACTCAGTTTTGCCTTAGTAAACACTTCGAATAACTGATTCATTTTTCTAAGTAATTGAAAGAGAAACAAAATCGCTAAATAAAATGTTAACGGTAAACCTTTATGTATTAAGCACTTATATAATAATCGCATAAAGTTGAGCAAATAAATAAAAATCCGGCAGGTTTCTTTAAAACAAGCAGAGGAGTCAAATGTACTTAATAATAGAGCTGCAGCCAAAAGACTTTTTTAGTGAACTACAGCAAAAAATGCAATTACAACTTAAGTCGCGCGCTTAAAAAATGAAAGTAATGCTGTTTAATGCAAATCCCTGAAGAAAGATTTATGTGATAAAACTAGCCTGCTAAGAAGATGGGAATAAATTAGTCGAAAAAGACTAACTTACTTTATAGTTAGATGGAAATTAGTTTTAAGAACGTCAGTTTAAGTTTTGCATCATAATATATAACTTCTCAATCGTTCTCTTTGCCCAACAAAAGATTACATTGATGTTAGAAAGATTAGTAGAAATGACGACCAACATTAGCGTCAAAACATCTTGCCTTAACTATTCCTTATATGTTAGCCCAATTCATTGTTTTTACAGCTCCAGAAAGAAGGAATGTGCTAGGGTAAAACATTCTGCATTCTTATTTGGGTGAATTGAAAATTTCTTTTTTTGGTTTATGTATTAAGATCAATTTTATAATTATACTTTTATTTTTGTGCTTAAAAAATTTGCTGCAATGAAAACTCTTGATTTCTGTAATAAATGCCTGCTCCTAAATGTTGCAAAAAGGTAACTTGGACAATGAATGAGAGCAAATAGTATTGCTGCTACTTTGTAATGCTCATCATTCAAATACTATTAAGGTCACCTGTTTGGTGTGCCGAAATTCAATGCAGGTCCCAGTGGCATGTAGGAGAATCTTAACAGTGTGCATTGGAGTTACATTGGTTTTTATTTTTTCAATTTCGTTGACGTTTCTTAACAACAATGTCATTAAAGTAATCATTTTATCCGAAACTATTTAAGGCCTATCCCTATCCTCTGTCGATTACTTTCATGCATTTAATCTTGAAATACTGTTTTGCTTGGGGTTTGAGAGCCTGTACGAGCTGCTACACAAAAGAAAAAAGAGTTGAGATGCCTTGGAAGGCCTATGCAATTGAGACGTCTCCGACTGGTTTGCTACATTTTCAGTAATATTGTTCTAGGAATTGCTAGTGCCTTAGACATTGGTCTTTCAAATTGGAGTTTTGAATTTGTTACCGTATCTTTGTAAGCTTTTTGTACTCTACCACAATTCGCTGCAGATACACGATGACCAAGTCAACTTCAATCATATTCATCCTTATTTTTGCAATAATACTTAAATTGGAGAAATTGGTAAGAATCGTAAGCAAGTAATTAACTTTTAGAGTGTGCCTGTTGTGATGATTGTGCTCTCGATTTCTTCTGGATTATTTATGTTTACGTACAAGTCGACGCAATTTGATCTAAGGGGTTTTATTCTTGTTCTAACTGCATCAGCGCTGAGTGGTATTCGGTGGACTGCGGTACAGAAGGTTACCCAACAGTCGATCTATGGTTTGTAACTGGATTTTGCATGATTTTTAATGTTCTGTCAGCACTGGCCAATTAAATTTCCTCCAACCACTATGTAGATTTGTTAAATAATAACAAACCCTTTCAAAAATGATATTTTGCCGGGCCTGTAGTAATGTTCCGCTTCCAAAAATTACTTGTTTATACTATTTTTACCGCGGCTTTTTTACCATGGTAACTTTCTACTGCCATCTTTAGGGTTATACAATCCTATTGACTTGATATATCACACCCAGCCATGGATGGCGTTGGTCATGTTGCCCCTATCATTCGCCTTTGAAGGTAAGTTGCTCCTCTTTCTAATTACTGTTTTTCTCGCCTGCCTATTTGTACTGTCCAAGTTTTCATAACATCGGGAAATACTCCAAGGTATTTAGTGATAGGAGCTTATTTACCCAACTCTGAGCTCTCGCACTTTATTGTTTATAGGCAACGATTTTTTAACTTCACCGTTCCTATTCCGCTCTCGGGACTACTTCAGCATCTGCACCATATTGGGTTACTTCCTATTCGGAGCCTGTTTGGCGTTTGGTCTTGAAGTTGCCGAGTTTATGGTCGTATACAATTCCTCCAGTTTAACGCTCTCGATCGCTGGTATTTTCAAGGCAAGTACTTTCTAAATCAAGTTGGTGTGTCTATCACTGGTACTTTAATGCGTTTTGAAGGTTTTGCTTGAGTTGCGTAATATTTTGGACTTCAAAAAAGTACAGATATGGTAAAAGTTTACCGGGCTCATTTTTTTTTATTGTGTAGGAGGTAGTGACGCTTTACTTGGCGGCCGTTCTCAACGGTGACACCTATAGTCCGGTGAATATTGCTGGCTTGATAATCTGCCTAAGTGGAATTTCGCTGCATGCTGCCATGAAATTTATCAAACGTAAGTCAGTGGTATTCTGCTCTTGCATCATTTAGATTATTTGTTCCATCTTGGGCAGTTTTATTGGTTCAAACAGGGCTTTTCGTAATTGCTGGATGCCAGTTAATTCTGAATCCGGAAAGTGTTAACAATTAATATCCATGCGTTATGTGCATTAGGTAAAGTTGTTATTAGACATCAACGTAACCGAGAAGTTTATATTGTTGAATTGCAGTCAAGTAAAAACTTTTTAGTGAAATCACGGACAGATTTGGTGTAAACTGCGTAGCGTTAGACTCACACCAGGGACGCGATTTGAAGCCCACATGGCACTCATCCAGTTAATTGCCTTTTCACCTAAGTCGCCAGCAAAGTGCATCTGGCAGCATGTGCATCGGCGGAGCTGGATTTTTTACGTTTATTTGTGCACTTCATTACTTTCCGTTACGACACCTTACATCCCAACATATTTACACGTGGTGTCTGCATTAATACCGTAACTGCTTATTACTAAAGTATACTATGACCAACCTCTGACCTCTCAACTCACCCAACCCTTACAAAAACACGCGTTTTGCAAAGTTACCAAATTTTAGCCTTGTAATACCACTAGGACGTGCACCAATCGGAATGTGTGATAACCGCCTTGAGGTGTTTGGCCATGATAATCGGGTAAGCACACTTCAAGCGTATCGGCGGATTCTAAAATCGATAAAAGCAGGAAAGTTGGTTTCTGGTGGAATAATTTTTCTACAAGAAAGGGATGTCATTGAAAAGCTACCGCTTTAGTATTGCCGCTTACTAACCAACACTGTTATGAAATTGCGGTCGTATGTCCCTTAACATAGGGAATTATTTCTCACTAAAGTCAGATTGTCGTTTTGTGAGCAACCAAAGTGGTTCTTCGGCTTGTGCATTCCTTTTAAATCTACCTATCCAATCATTCTGCAACACCGCGAACCCAAGTGTATTGTTGTGGTACCAGGTTGAGCCGGACGGTCACATCGGAATCACTAATTGTAGGACCCACGCCGGGGTAACTGGGGCTACGCGGATACCCCAGAAGACGACGGTGGTTCCTCCCTGTTATGCGTTTTTGTGTCCGTGTGCACGCCTAGACATTTTCGCAGACTCAGAAAAAAAAGTGATTTTTTGCACCAAGGTACCTGGACATGCGTCGGCAGAGGGAGGTGGTGGTGGACGTGGACTACTTCATTTCACGGCACTCCTTTGCCGTATAATTACCCTAATTCTTTCGTCTTCTTGTTGTCTTCGCACAGTTTAAGGAGGCGTTTCTGTGGTGCTTTTGTACAATTGCTCTGTGCATGGAACGCCGGTAGCAACGACCCCACCACGTAGCTCATATTCTACGCATGTACTTTTTCTCCGTATTTCCAGACCGTCGCGAGCAATGTCACGCTCCTCAAGAAGTGCATGTTGGCGACTCCACGCAGGGGGAAGAAATGACAAACCTGTAGAAACAGAAGTCACCCGTTTTTGGAGCTGCAATTTCCATTTCATGGTTTTATCACTTTTTTGTAAGAATGTCTTCGCAGAAATGATTTGCCGCCCTGCTAATAAGCCTCTTCGTGCTCTTCAACGTTTGTTGTTTTTTTCTTTCCCGCACCAATCATTCCACGCACTTATTTTTTTTAAAAATGATTATTCACACCTTCATCTTCGTTTATTTGCCTACTGAATTGCCTCAAATCCCTGCCCTCACTGACTGCTGTCAAGGCAACTGCGCTTGGGTTAAAATCACTTAACATAAGTTGTAGGAGGCCAACTGTCTCTAGCTAATTTCGTGAACCAGAAAACAACCGACTTGCACAAGCTCGTGTGCACGTGTTTGTGACTTCGTCTGTCTCCAAACGGCGGTGGCTATCGCGTTAATTCAATTCGTGTGGGGTCAATCGTGAGGTCGTGCGTGTGAGCACACACACGAGCAGGAAGACCCACAGGTTGCATCTGATGGTGGTGTGCTGCATTAGCGTCCGTCAGTAGCCCTGGTTCTTGCCCGATCGTTTTTAGGTTGCTAGAGTTGAAATGCCTGGGGCAGAACCTCACATCGACTTGCTCGAACTAACCTAACAACATTGTCTTGAGAATTGTGCCAAAATTCTAGCCATTTTCAGACCCAAGTCCACAGCCAATGTGCTAGCACTTATCTGGTGCTTTTTTGGTTTGTAGATGCTGCTTTAATGCGACTTATTCTATGCATCGACCGCAAAAAAACAGCCGTGCCGGAGCTACAACCAACCGAGAGGCTGTCTTATTGCAGATCAATGAGCTTGCCCACCAGATTTTACACTGCCTAGCTTGAGTACTTTCAACTCCCCGCCAACTCCGCAATTGTCCGTCCTCTTTTCTTAATATTTTTAGCCGCTTGCTTGTGAAGTCACGTTTAATTTCGATAATATACACTCTACAACTGAGAGGGGCTTATTTAACGCCGGTTGCAACCCTATCTATGACCAACTATGGATGTGTCTGGCACTCTTGGCAGTTCCTTGTACCCCCGCTACAAACAAAGGTCGGTGTTCTCCCTACACAAAACGTTTGTTGTCGTGAAGTACTGAATAAAAAATACAAAGAGAAGAAGCAATATACACTCAAGAAAAGTAGATCAGAGGTGTATTCTCCGGATTTCCTCAGGCTTGAAGTCGACTCTAAAATAGAGGTACACATTGAACTCCACCTGGCATCTAATTGACGGCGTCTTAGTTAAACTATAGGAAATCCATTCGCAACTCAAGAAAATGTGGACTGGACAAATCAGCACAGCACACAGAGCGGCAAAATGCGTCGTCCGTAGCAATCAGGGTTAGATCGGATAAACAGCTCACCTTGTGCAGCATACACAAACATAGAAACGCACCGTAGGGTGAGAAGTCGGCGGATTTCGTTGGCAGATAAACGCCAGTTGGATGTGTCACCGTAGTAGCTCACTTCCTCAACCTGAAGGGAGTAAAAACGCGATCAGACGGTGCCCAAATGGCTCGTGGTGGGCCGCTGGTTTTAGCTTAACCCCAACCCTCTCCTGGTTGTAAAATCGGTCGCTTTTGTGGTCCGGTCAGTTGGAAAATGGTGACCCATGTCATGGAATGATGCAGATATGGAATGCTCACCTTCTCAAGATTCAGCAGTTTGGTGATCTGGAGGATGCGAGCGAAAGTCTCACGACAGGAGAAGGCGCTCAGAGAGGTGAAGAAGTTGAAGATGCACCTCATCTCCTTGTCAAATTGCAGGGCGCCGTACTGAAAAGGGCACACCAAGGTCCGGTAATACGGCGAATTCCCGCACACACACAAAAAGCACTCAAAGGTGTTGACAAGTCAATGCCTACCCGATTGTAGGTCTTTTGCTGCACAAAACGCTCCAGTCGAAGCAGAAGCTCGTTGGCGAGCACAGAGACGAATTTCTCGAAGTTCCCCACAGAAAGCGCGGCCTAGAAAGCACGAACACGCGCGTGAGAAACAACGAATGACTATGGAGTTAGTTTGCTCTCGAGGTAGCAGAGCGGCGGTCGCGACGTCGACACAAATCGCCCGACTCATGACAGTTTGGTCTGGTCTATGGATAGACAAGAAGCGCGTCAATGGTGACTGCTTTGGGGGGCCAAATGCTGTCTTTACCGAAAAAGCTACAAATGAGATTACAGGCTTCTCGAAAGCGGATGATGTGAAACGAAGCAAATGAGGCAACAATCAGGCAACCAACTTGTGCGCTCAAGTTGGCATAGAAGGCAGCACGTTCACCCGAAGCCCATTCAACATCCCCACCTTCTTGTCACTGAAAAAAAGCGTTTCAAAAGGCATCCAGGGTTCCACAAATACGCACGCACGTCTTCTCTAGACGTCGGCACATTCCACTTTAGAATTTGCCTCGGTTACAGCATTCACATTTGTGTGCCCTTTAATGCACTCGGGTGGGATCTGGATCTTCACGAGAAACAATAGTAAAACTGGAATATCGTGGGGAATTTTGGAGCACACATTTGCAGCACGTATGTGCCAGTTATTTGTTAATAACGACAGCCACGGTATGTCCCAGCTGACCGTGAACAGTTGATTAGCCCCACCACCAACACACAGTTACAATTGGCAGTCCATTTTTACCGGAGATGATTGATCAACGTGTTTACTTGACCTGCTAGGGCAGTTGACCTTGTAGCCACAAATGACCCTCTTGTGAATCTGAATCGATCATGAGTTGACCTCTGGGGGACGAGTTTATGGGGTCGGGTCTGTCCACTCATCAATAGGTCGTGCGAGGGACACCCGGACAATGTTAATCATTCAACTCACCTGACTGCAGCCCACTTGAACATTCACACGGCTTCCGCTTTAATCTCAACCTGCGCCGGGACCTTTGGCTGAGGCAGTGAAGCTCTCTGCACGGGTATAACGTGAGAACGATCTGATCTCTTCAGTAGGTCCTGTTAGGGACGCACGAACGGCATTCTATCACCCGATCTTTAACCCACGATATTTGTAGTTGTATCATTCGAAGTAATCGTGAGGTGGCTGTGCTTTGCCAATAAGCTGTCTACTACGTGAAGTTGTCTGGCGAAATTCGGACTACCGCCTCAAAACCACAAATGGAGTACACTCAGGTTAGCAATCGCCACCACAGAGCTGTCTCGAGCTGTCTACCGATGCATCCATCTCTTCCAGGAGAGCGCACGAAGGTAGTGGATACGAATCACGACCACAGATGAGTGAAACCAGTGAACTTGGAGAGCGGACAGCCTGCTGCTGGTACCCTAGCTCATCCGGTTCCGACGAATCCCCTCTTGACACAAAAGGTGACCCGTTGTGTCGGGGGGACCAGCATCCCAGCGAATTGCATGTCTCGCTTGGAGAACTGACCTTGGGACTAAATTAGCCCAACAACATTATCATTTTAGATCATTCCTAGGTGTTTAAGTGTCCGAGTTAGAACGCATTTTCCCTCATCAATGATGACAGGACAATGGCGCACAAAACAGTTATGCACGAAGTTCGGCCGACGAAATTGTCGAATGGACAGAATTAACTCACGCAACATTGCTAGGAATAATCCTAGGCCAAAAGACGACCGAGGTGAATTTCTGACTGCAACATGTCTCCAAGAATCAGGCCTAGAATTGCGGGAATTCTCGAAGACACCCCAAATGTGACCATAAGAAATTTTACATCCATGTCAGTTAAGAGGAAGCTGACAGACGTAAACAGATTAGGGCGGTCATGGAGATTTGCAAAATTAAAACAGTGTAGTGAGATAGAAGGACCATGGATATCCTGATATATCGTGTGACTGACGGCCACGAAAACATTGCACGCACCTCCTCCTAGATGTGCAGTTCGATCACAAAAAAATGCACAGACGTCAGTAATGGGGCGTGGAATTTGGGCTTTGATGGTAGGCTTGTGTGAGACAGAGTGCAGGGGGTGTGGGTAGCAGGGCTGACTTACATGAAACGGTTTCAAAAGGCCTTGCAGACCGACTATGAGTGACTCAACCCACGGATCGTTAACTGCGTACTGCTCAAACTCCTCCTACAATTCAACCAAGGAAGGAAGCGGATCGTTAAGGCATCAAAGAGGGTGGCAAGTTTCTAGCTGATCATTCGAGCATCTTACTGTGACAGAAATGCCGTGTCTTGACAAACAACAAATGCATCACTGGCGCGTGACTAATTAAACTATCACTGTCGTGGTAAACCAACACACACACACACACAATTACCTCAGGTTGTAAGAAAGCAAAATCCACTGAAACACGTGCCTTAAACTGACGGCTAGTTGAGGTAGGCCTTGAAACACACCAATTCGAGTTTTTAAAAAAACTACCGTAGAATCGATGCGTCGACTGACAAGCACTGTTTCACTCGCGAAACTAGCATTTTACGTTGTCTGGGTGGTTGGAGACGAGTTAGACGTTTCGGCTACACAGACCCAAGTTATTTTTTTTTGGTGATACATTTCCCTGGACAAAACTTTTATTTTCATGGGAGATATTACTTGACAGGAAGTTTGGCTCTCTAATGAGCATTTCAAGTGGTTTGCGTGCTCATGCACAGCCATGTGTGATGTCCTGAAGGCGCATAGCGAAACGTGTGCTGATTAGCTAGGTTTCATGACGATCAAATTAAAGTCCACGTAATTGGTTTGTTTGCACACCGTCTGTCAAAGTTTAATTGCCAGAACGAGAATGAGAGACTAGATAAGACACTGATACGCGAGTGCAAACGTATCGTCTCAGACATAATCAATAATCGAAGTCAAATCTACATAACCCGATGCATTTGAATAAAAACAGCCAATAATAGTGTTCGACAGCCTAGTGACAGCATAAATCATGGCTGCTATTGGTCACTTCAATAACCTTCGGCCCGAAGGTGTGCTTGGTGCTACGAATAACCAGAGACCTACCTCGGAGATGTCCCGTTTGACTGAATTGAATGACTGGGTGAGGGAGTTCACTTGTGGTCGGATTACGGCGCGAAGTTGATCAAAAGCCCCATCGAGCAGAGTTCGAAAGGCCTTGCTCAGTGAGCCAATTAGATCCGACAGGCAGGCCTACAACACCACAGACCTGGCCAGATACATCACATAGTTCGCCACTGTTGTATAACGTCCAGGCTTTCAATCGTGAAGGACCAACTTGACAGTAATAAATCTCAACAGGCCTTAGGGATCAAGATCGGTAAATGAATCTTTTTATGCAGGGCACGCTGTCTTTGTTCGTTTCAAGAAGCCTCTGTCAACAACCACAATCGCATTCATGACGCACAGAAGGTGACGCCAATTTTACGTGTCTACTGGGGGGAAATTTTGCCGGATTAAGCGAAAACCGAAAACGTCACCCTCACGCAATCAGCACAGTAAATCGTGCGGCCTCACACACCTGCAGTTTACTGAGGTCGGATGTTCGCCGCAAACCAAAGACCTCCTTGATGTACTGTTCCAGGGTTTCTTGAAGGATAAACAGGCAATTTAGACAGGCCTCGAGAGAATTCAGGGCGTATAGGTACTGCGTTTGGGAGTCCAAGTTGGCAACGCTGCCGGCGGTGGAGAGACCAGCCGACGCGACAGAAGAGGCCTCCGAGTTTGTCGTGCCGAGAAGCCCAGTTGCTAGGGTTCCGCCTACAGGTGAAATATGGCGAGTTAAGCGTAATGGCAATTCGCCTGTAGTAGGCGAGTTGTGCATTTAGAGCGAAATGCCGTATTCAAAGTTACTAAAAGACACGTCGGAAATGCGCGTGGGAAGTTCGCAAAAGACGCAGAGTTGGGTAAAGAGGTGTTGTATCTCTTTAGTGAGACAGTGCGAATCAAATTAGTACAGCATCCATGAAATATTGGCAGATAGCGATTGACACAACACGCCGCAGCTCTACTGAAGAGTAATTGAGTAAGTACATTTACAATGACAAGGAAGGAGGTTAGAAACGTAGCAAATAAGTGTATTAAATGTATTTAATACTTCACACAGGCATCGGCCACTAAGTGGTCTTACGAGGCCGACAAAACGTTGAAGTGCCTTTTCGCGTGATTCCCAATCTGACCAACAGGTGGGCGATTCGGTAGTTTTTTAAGGTGAAAAAAAGGGAGAAGATCCCCGGATTTGTCACAGAGAGCCACTGGTGCATGAGGGGAACCCGGCGCAGTTAGCTGGACTACGCGCACAGAGAACGGCCTGCTTACTTCCAGCGCGCTTGTGCACGAGGTAGTAGGCCTGCTGGATCCACCCAGAGGAGGTGCAGCTTTTCGTCCGCGCGGTGAGAGTGTCCTCAATTAACTGGTCGGTGAGGACGGCATCGGCGTGGTTGAACATGGCGCAAACGGCATCCACGCTGCCAGAGGATATCGCACGGCTGGAAAACCCAAGACAAGATCAAATAGTGTTGGTGGCGGTGTGACAGTTAATCCTGGCCCCTAACCCCCTATCCCTCGTGATTAGTTTAACTTTTTTTTATTTTGGAGGCCCTCAAGTAGAGCATGACTTACCCGGATTAACTGCCGATTATCACGTGCCACCAATAAAGGAAGTTGTGGGGCAATTGTTTTTAAATACTACATTGCGTTCTTTAGGCAAACAAGTGATGTTTGTTCGAATAACTGGGCTATGGCTAAGTGATGCTACCTGAGGCACTTCTTTACCACAAAGAAAACGTCGTCAACAAGGCGGAAGGTCTTCGTAGACTCGTCCAGCTCATCCAAAAGTATAGCCTAAAAGAACAAAATGCCAGCCAATGAAAGTGCTTTGTCCATATAGTAAATAATTGGCTGAGCATAACACTGTTTTGAAGAGGACTAGCCACAACGGTGCCCAATGAAAAGACTTTCCAAACACTGAGAAGAGACAAATAAACGGAAGACATTGGTCTAAAAATTGGCCCTTGGTTTCAGATCCCATTTTTTGCGGTAGACTTTAGGATAGAGAGAGAGAGAGATGGCACGGCACACAAATAAGGGAGCATTTGGCGAGTTGGGAAACGGAACGATCGACTGTTTACTTACCTTGTTGACGAGTTCGCGCAAGAATAACTGCTCTAGGGGAAGATAGGCATCCACGATTTCCTGTGAAATTTTTGACAAAAGGCATTGGTTGAAGAATCGCCGAAGATCTGCAGCTACAGCGAGGAGGGGAGAGAAGCGTAAGGCTGATTTATTTGGACAAATATGGCGCTAATTGTGGAGATAAAGGCTAGCAGTTCAACAAGTGAATGAGCAAGTCTCAACCGCGTTTCCAATCAGAGAACGCACTTTTTGCACCAAATATTTTACAACTCCTTTTCTAGCCCTAAAATTCTACTTAATTTTAGTAGAGATTCTTCATTAACTCCAGCCAATGAAATATCATCCGCCAACTAGGCTTTATTATTATTCGCAAACGCAACAACTTTCCCATACAACAGTTGTTTTGCCTAAAGAGGACAGTTGTGAATTAAATTAGCCTATACCAGCCGCATAATCCCATCAACTGAATTCAACTGACGCTGCGACGTGGGTAGAAAACTTACAAACTTCGTGCGCCTTTTCATTCTTTTGCTGTGGGTCTGCCTAAAAGTTTCAAAGAGGCTATTAATAGCACTTTCATTGCTAATAACTAGTCAGTGTGTGAGAAATTTAAATAAAATGACAAAACTAAATTGAAGTTAGCAATTCGTGGGTGAGATATGGAGCATGAAAAAAGGCTGTTAGCTGGCACAGGGGCTACCATTGGTTCACATTCATCCTGGAAAACAATACCACGTTAGATATTTAAGATACGTCGAGATTGGCAAAAAAATCTTCATTCGTGACATAGTAAGGTAGTTTCTTCAGTTTAGAATCAAATTTAATTAAGAATAGCAGCCCAGAAGTTAACTGGATTAAGGCCACTGAAGACCTGTGCTCTAACATATACATATTCCCTAAACCTTTGAGGTTGCATGAACGAAAGCAAAACGCTCTAAGTACATTAAAAAAAGAAGTTAAGCAAGGACCGGCACGTTAGCACAAAACGCTTAAAATCCTTACAAGTAGTCGTCGACGTAGGAAATTGAGGTAGAGCTCTATCCGAGCATTAAACAAAACCAAATCGGATATCAACGATTCAGTTGACAAACAGTAATCGCACAATGGAGTTTGTTTTTGCTGACCAGAGGCTGAGGAGGCGGTGCTGGCAGAGCGACAATTTACAGAGAGTTCGAGGCGCGTGCGTTGCAGAAAGACCGGCAAGTCATTTTTCTCTTTAAAATTCATAAAGATTAGCTCGGCATGGCGGTCACACTCGCCTTGAACAATTTCAATGAACCTCAGAAGGCCATCACCGCCTAGTTGCAAGAAATACGAGTCAAATGACAGCAAACGGCAATCGAACGGCGTGCTAAAGTAGAACAATTAACGCACCGTAACTCTCCTGAATGACAGATTCATTAGCCTGAACAGCCTGTGCAACAGATTCCAGCAGTCCGGTCATCAGATCGACGTACATTGTGGGCTGTTTCGCTGGTTCCACGGAAACAAGCAGTGATAGCTGAATGTCAGCTTTTTGGCCGATTTCTGAGGCAACAAATTTTCCATACTTCAGAAGACCCATATTGTGCTCCTTAATTATTGGACAAATTCGGAAGAGCTGCTCGATTCTCGGGACATCCTTAGAGGAAATAAGGTCATCAAACTCAGAGGAGAATTTTGACACCACCGCTCTATGAAGATCCCTTAATGTTGGTAAAATCGATACACCGACATCCTCTGTAGATCAAACAAAGTCAAATGTGAAAAAGACGTTAAAGGACATCTATCTAAAAGTAAGCGCGGTGGTTTCTCACCTTTTTCTAAACTTTCAACAAGAGAAAGCGTTTGATCATCCATGCTGAGGAAAACTGACACGCTTTTTGCAGCCTGGCAAATACATCAGACACGTAAACCACGTACCTCGATAACATTGTTGGATTCAAGTGCCTTCGATGTATCACTTACACATTTGCACAGACTTATTATGTTACCAATCAGCGCTTCGACATTCTGCACTCGATTCTTTAATGGATATAGTAAAATAAACCACAAAGTACCTTGGCTACATCAAGCTGTCGGACTTTACTACTTAACTGGATTCCTATACTGGCTGCATTACTTACAATAGCTGAGAGCCCAACAGCCTTATCATTCAGATCCAACATATTTGGTCTATTTTGATCATGCATTCACGCAAATTTTACATACAAGGATTCTTCCAGGGACCGCAGTTTCTGGTCAAACTCAATTCGCTTCTCTTCAAAATCATTAATAGCTTCAGTGAGGGAGTTCTACTATAAACAACACTAGCATTATTATACCTCATAATCTTCAAGTTGTAATAGTGCTTTGTTTAGCTCCCCAATGCTTTTTAATTGGCTTACATCGATGTCCATCGACTCAGGCTAGATTGTTAACAGAGTGTTGATACAGGTTAACGCATCCAGTAGATGGCAAACATTATCAGTAGTATCCTATAAAAAATTCAGTTGCTGTGATATTTTGCACAATCAATCACAGCTCATAACAACAAAATACTAATTATGTAAAAGCACGCCTTAATTAACACTGTTTTCAAGTCTAATATTTTTTGTGACAATTATAGAAAACGAGCCTTTGGTTCAAACTGAGTCATTTGTCTCGCAATTTATGCACCCAATTATCTATTTCAACACCAAAGAAGATATTAACATATTAGATGATTTTGCTTTAAATTCTATTATTTGTTTCAATGCATATTTATAAAAGTATTTGGGCTTAATGAAAAAATATACAAATCAGCACACTTCAGTTTTTAGTTTTAATTCGTATCTACTAAAATGGGTAAGTCGATAGTCTACGTTCAGATTAACCACCACTAAATGGAATTTTTTGACATTTGTTTTAATTCCCCATTACCTTTACTACAGCTTTGCCCTTCTTTTAAAATGAGCGAAATCCCAGACTATGACGCTGAAGTTCAAGATGGTAAACCTTGCAGGGTCAAAGTTATTTGCTTGGGTGATAGCGCCGTTGGAAAGTCAAAGTAATGTTATGTTGTTTCTGGATTTATATTTTAGATTGGTTGAACGTTTCTTGCTAAGCGGATAGTATCCTTTTGATTTTTTTCTACATAAATTTCTGCGTCAATAAGCCGTTTGCGTTGTATGAATTTGATTTATCGGTAAACGCAAAAAATTAGGATTTTTATAATTTGTTAATGTTGTCATTGTGTATGGTTTTGGTCTACCGGTTTTTATTTAGTGTCATTGGTCATTTAACATCATGCATTCGTTTTACTTGCTGCTGAGAGTCCAAGCAGAATGTCGATTACTACAACTAGTGCTGAAGAGTGACACAAGTAAAACCTTTTCGTTGCTGCCTGATTATGCCCTGCGAACACTATTTTCGCAATATGCAATAAGCCTTTCTTTGCAATTAGTGTCAATTAGAACCATATGATGTCTCCATATTATTCGTAGTAAAAACTATGATGCTTAAAGCTTTACTCGAATTATTCGTTCATAAATGTTCCATTACGGAATATTTAATTGTTTTCACAAAACATTCCATTTTCGGTTTTATCAACGATGTAATTCCTGCTAGCATAGGCTTGCAGTGCATTTGGCACATAAACGTACAATTACCAAAATTGACAATTTTCAAGATTTTTTTTGCAAGTATATCTAGCACTGATCTATGCCAGTATGAAAATGAATACAATAATTGTCATACAAGGTCATTTTTGCTTTGCGCTCAGGTAACATATTCTGACTTAATAATTTTGAAGTTTAGCCAAATAAATCAGGGTGGCAGATTTGGTCAATAGATAATATCCATGAACAATTTCTAAATATTTTGTTTCGAGCCATAGTACAGTAAAAATGCTGAACTGAATCGTTCCTGACCGGTTCTTGCAAAAATTGTAGACCTTGTCATGTGTCGCTTTTTGGTTTTGCCTTAACTATTTCTCAGCCATCCCCATCAACTTTCTACTTACGCCCTCAATGTATATAAGCATCAAGTGACGGTAGAAGGGAATGTAGTTGATGTCGGTAAGCTTTGACTAAAATTGTAAGGCTTCCAAGATTTCTGGGACACAGCAGGCCAAGAGCGGTTTCAGAGTATGCATCAATCCTACTATCACCAGGCGCATGCATGCATCCTAGTTTTCGATGTCACTCGTAAAATAACATATAAAAACCTCAACAATTGGCTAGTGGAGCTTCGGAGTTACCGCCCGGACATACCTTGTTTCTGCGCAGCAAACAAAATTGATGGTTGGTTGTCCTATACTCTAAGCACACGCTTTTTCTGCAGCTGATATGGAAGTCACCAAAAAAGCTTTCAATTTTGCTAAGAAAAATAGCATACCCTTTTATTTCGTAAGTGCCTCCACTGGCACAAACGTTGTGCGTGTATTTACAGACGCAGTTAGAGCTGCTGTCGCTTACAAGAAAAACCCAAGTGACATTTTGGATCAGGTTATGGAAGAGCTTGAGGTGAGTTTCCTTAAACTAAACTGAATTTGGGATATTCTATTCTGACGCACTGTCCATAGTGCATAGATTCGGATGTATTGGAATTTCTCATGAATAAAAGACTAAAGGTAATTTTAATAAGACGGACCTTGCACGGTTAGACGTCCTTGACATAAGCTTTTACTAACGCAGAAACGGGTGTCTAAGTGATTGTTCTGGAGTCTGCTTCGACTCAGAATAATGATTACTGAATACCATTGCAAATCGGGCATTTGAAACTTTATACTGTAACCTTCAAACCTCACCGTTTGTTCCACAAAAGCACCACAAAAGTGATACCTTGTCGGCAAATGAGATTTGTATTCCTCAATTAAACTGTCAAGTGGCCTGAACACGTTATTCACATCCGTTTGTCATATAGTTAATGTTATTCATTTATATTTTAGAACATGGAAACTGAGCTGGAAAAAAACGCGACAGAAGGCGAGATCTACGCCGGTGATCTGCCATAGCCCCTTGAAACCGTTTGGCACGGACGCAAAACATTGACAAATCCCCCTTTCAATGGGGTCCTGTAAATACTGACCTAATTTGTTACAATAGCTTTGCAAAATCTAATCTCAGACGCCGACAATTTACTTTTACTCGGTGAATTATGTGGGTTTGAGGGGAGGGTATCTGATACTTTCATCGACGCACACTTGTCATTACCAAGTCGAAGACCTAGTCTGCGAAACAGTGGAGTGACTTGACGTCTTCGAATGAATTAATAAATTAAGCCGTACGACAATCCTACGTCAAAAGCAAAAGCCAAATTGTCACTTTGTAGGCCTCGTCCCCTAGATCATACAATTAGCGACATAATCGGTACTGGAAGCGACAAACGGACGTTTACAGAGTTGGAGCCTTAAAGCCCAAGACGGCTTCACATTAATTTTAAAATGACCGCATTTCATACCTTATAAATAAACTAAAACTCAGTGGTTCAGACAGAAAACTTGTTCTTCACGAGTCTCATGATCCCCTGCTAGCAATATAGCTCATTACCAGCAACAGCACAGATATTTACAGTTATTTCGGCATTCGTTTAACAGAAACCGGTATTAATACTCCATTTCCATTCAATGATGCCCGAAAATAGGGGTAAACACAACTTCCACTGTATTGTTGTACATTATGCACAGTAATGTACACACAAACAAACTTATAGAGTATAACAGTAAAAAAGACATTTATATAGGCTTGATCTTGAAATGCAGTCCAATCAAGGAGAATACCAAACATTTTAGATCCTGTACAAGATAGTAAAATGTGCGCAAGCCTTCTGGATCTCTACAATGCGGTGGTCGTATATATCACTAAGAACTTACTTGCAGTTATTTATTTCGAGTAGTGAACCAATCTTGGACGTCGTAAAAGATATATGCTCATCTCCACATACAATCTCGAGTTCTTGACGACCAACGCGATCAGGTGTTGGCCAGTTCGCATCATCTTCGTTCATGATATCACTATCAACAATAATACGCTTTAGTTCTTCCATGACAGCTTTGCTAACAGTTGCCTACGAATTATTAGCAAAAAAATTCAAATACCTCTTTTCGAATCATTGTATCATTTTTGTAGTTGGAATTATTAGCGTAGCGAAGTTTGCCTACACAATATTAAAGGATGCTTTAATTACATACCATCTGGCCGAAACTCGAACTCAAGAAATTCGTGACCAAACTTGCCACGATGCCCAACGTAGTAACGGAGATAAAATGCATCAGCCATACCAGGTACTGACTTTTCAGGTTGAATTGTGCAGGCTCAAATTGCCACGAATAACATGAATAAGTTGATGTGCTTCATGAACGCCCACTAAGACCTCCCGAACTGCAATTTTTGTAATCAAAAAGTGGTAACGCCAAACATATTAGCTGCAGAAATGTCTATTATATTCATCATGAACGTGTAATTTGCCTGAACCCCCCTTTTTTAATTTCATCGTTAGAAAATAAATGTAGTTTAATTTTAGTTTGAAAAAGCATGATTTGAATTTCTGGAGTAAAAAAATTATTAAAATTATAAGCTTTGGCTCACGAGCTAATGTGGGTTTGCACAAAGTGCTTCTCAGTTGCAAATCCACGCGAATACATGCTTACGACCAAAGCTCTCATCACTTCACTTTAGTCAAATCCGCGGTCACTGCAGCCTTTTTCCACTGTCCACGTCAGACATTAAGAACCCATGCAGGTTTACTGTGTTAATAAGTCGTAGCCTTGCGCCTATCACCCGTGACAGCATAACCAACTTTTCAATGATAAGTATAATCACTTTTGCAGGTAATTTCTCCTTCTATTTCACGGGAGAATTTAGCGTAGCTGCATAATAATAATAATGAAATTATTCAATGAGTGGCGTTTTAAGGCAACTTAACCATGACAGTGCTCAAGCGTAAAACATTTGCTTACAACTTAATTATCTATGCAATTCCGTATGACCGAATGTTTCTCATTCAGAAATTCATCTAATGAAATATGATAGTCATTACAAAAAGTGCGGGTTTCTGATACAGATTTCTGTGTTGCCAATACGAACTTCCCAAAAGCCTATAACCCCATCAACTATTGTCATGTATCGGTGTTCTTTTTCGTCATTTCCATTGACAACGGCGAACTAATGAGGTCGCAATTGAAACCCTTGGAAATGGGCAGGAATAATGCACATCCCTAGAATCGACTTTACCTAAACTAACTTATTAATTATGTTTTCTTAAGTCTCTTTCAACAGCTTAATTGGTAACTATATTTTCAATAAAGGCGACTTGTGGCGAGCACCAGGTAAAGCCACCAAAATTTAAGAACAAATTTACAATTCTAGTTTGAAACAATATATTTATGTGCTGAAATGCAAACCATAGCATCGTCTTGAATGAAACAGATTTACTAAGCCCCTTTTCTGTTCAAAAGCTATTTCATGTACATTTATCTATAGCACGCACACAACCGATTTATTTAATCATGGACACAGAAAGAATATAAAGAATGAGTTACAAGACTTCGAAGTATGCGATGTTTCTAAATCAGGACGTGTGAATGAATTGATCTCCCTGTGGTTGCTAAATAAGTGATCAAAGGGGATATAAACCTGGCAGCAGGCCAAACTATTAGTCTTGATGGCTCTGGTGATTGAATTTTGATGATGGTCATCTAATACTACTGGATGCTAACGTAAAGAACGCCACTCATTGACAAATGCTTGGGAAAAGTTAAAATCCCAGTGGTAAGAACGAATGGTCATGATAACATTTCAATCGGAAGGAGGTTTGTGCAGCTTCGCCTTGAACGCGCGTGTCATGTGGAATCCGAAGGAATTCTCAATGAGGAACTCTTTCTACTAGAGACTCCGTTGTAAAGGCAGTCAATCAGTGCGGGGGGCAGCTTGAGGCAGGTATGCTGTTCAGGCACCTCGAGTTCAGTCATCGGAGGGAGATTTTGTATCAGCTCTGACAGATGCTTCAAACTGCAAAAGAACAGATTGAAATTACACTGTGCCGAGTCACAAGCGAACACAATCACCAGTTTACTTGAATGCGCCTTGCGTAAGTATGCTCGTTCAATGATCGATGCTTAGCGACGACACACAAACATTGGCTGGTTACCTTGCACAACGCCGCTACTACTGCCCCAATAAACAGGTTCGATTGGGCGTTATTTGCATCTCTTTGCTCTCATTGGTAGGCTCTGTCAGTGCGCCCACTGTTTGGGGACTTGTTGCCACGCTTCTACCAGACCCAATTGCGTGTTCACAATGGCCAGGCGACGTGACCCCACAGCGTCAACCTCCATAGTCAGACAACTACCCGCACAAAGCACTTTCTGCTAATGCGCTTCTCATGAACCACAACCACTGCTAGTCAATTAACGAAACTGCCCCTCAAGTTTGCCGATTGATTGAAATTTCCATTCAGACGTTACAAAACGCGTTTTAGCAAATAATGGAACCTGTCCATATCTTTCAATTTAAGCGTCCAATGAAGCATCAAGAGTATATTATCAATAAATCTCATTGATGAGAAGGTGATTGGTTGGAGAGGGTGCAGACTTACGCGTCTTCCGTTGGCGGATGAGGCAGTTTCTTGTTGAAACCGTCTTTCCCGATAAGCCAATAGGAATCAATCTCACCTCTGCCCTTGAGAAACACTTTTCCCCTGTGCTCCAAGTGATACCCGCCGAGTTCGTCCAACACCGTCTTCGTTTGTGCGCTCACGTGTATTCGAAATGCTGCATTCAAGAGTGAAACTAAGTCGAATTAGCTTTCAAGTCATCCATGACTTCAGTGGAAACTCCTTACATGGACAGAATCAAATGTGCGATATAAAATAGCAGTGCTACTATAGCGTGATTCTTACAGGCTATCGTAGGTTATTGTAAATGAAGGGGGTCGTCGGCTAATACCAAATCGAATTTCGATAACAACAATTAACCACCAGCTACCACCTTGCTATCGTGTGTGCTGAGATCGGACCCCGGGTTCCACGCAAGACCAGCACCGAAGTAGCTTGCCTACGTTTCT